CACATCTTACACTGTAACCTAGGACAACAGCCCATACCCAGAGATTGCTTTACTTCATCTTTCTTCATCCCAGTCGTCAGTGATGACCCACGTTAACTTTTCTAGCCAGCCAGCTGGGAAACCAAAAGCGCTGCCCCTGAGGCATTCCAGCCTAAGCTTGGCGTACATTGTCTGTGTTCACAGCAGTCGTGCAGGTTTGGAGTGGTGCTAGTGCTCAGCTTGGCTGCTAGTGCTGAGCTTGGCTTCAGCTTTTGTATATACTGAGGTTAATGTGTTTCCTTAGAGTGCTTCTGCTTTACGGTGGACGTGTTGCTGTATCTCTGCTGCTCCTACTTTGTCAAAGGAGCACTTTTCTGGAAACTAGGAAATTGCCTCATCAAGAAAATTGCTTTTCTGAGGCACTAATTACAATCCTTGGGTGACACAAGAGAACATCAATACTGTGATTAAGAAGAAGGGAGTGCTTAGAAATGCTTTTTCTGACTGCTCCATGAGCAAAAAGAATGTTACATTGATTAATGCTTCTGCCAAAAAAACATTCTTGTGAGCTTTTTCTATGGATTAATGTGGTCAGGTCATTCCCACTAAGCAGTAAGTTTTCCATCAGAACAAAACCTCTCTTGTATTAGACCTCTCAACAGTTGCTTGAATGACAGGCATAAACGTGTAACTAACAGGTTTTTTCTCTTCAGTACTAGCATGATCAAGGGAAAATAATAAAAAGGAAAACTCTTCTTGTCCCCATGTTAGTTTTAAAAGAGCCAGTTACATTTGGGCATGGGTGAATTTCCTAAAGCTGGCTTGCATGCTTTAACAGTATCAGAAAGTTTTTTGAGCTTGAATCACCTCTGTAACACCTTTTGTAAGGGTAGTCTGGTGGAAAGCTTATGTGTACCTCCTTCTTTCTTATTTCACTCACACGTTCAGTATTTCTCAGACCACTGTCACTTTCATGAAGCAACTCGATTTCGAAGCTGCTTATAAGAATCTGAGATGATGTGGTATCATGGATTAAACCCATTCTCTGACATAAAGCAGAGCGATGCATTTTCACATTTGGTTTGTGACTCGTGTATTAGATATGTACTGACAGATGCTTCAAGTACTTTGTTTTAAACAATGATGTTTGTACTAGTACGATAATCAACCAGAAAAATGTGCAAATTCACTTCTGACTTAATAACCTTTTGGACTGCTTTGACTAGAAGGCCACTAGGTTGGTCAGGCAGGACTTGCCCTTGGTGAAGACATGCTGGCTGTCTCAAATCACCTCCCTGTCCTCCATGTGCCTCAGCACAGCTTCTAGGAGGATCTGTTCCATCATCTTCGCAGGCACAGAGGTGAGACTGACAGGTTGGTAGCTCCCAGGGTCCTCCTTTCACCCTTTTTAAAAATGGGTGCAATATTTTCCTATTTCCAGTCGCCAGGGACTTCACCTGACTGCCATGGCTTTTCAAATATCATGGAAAGTGGCTTGGCGACTACATCAGCCAGTTCCCTCAGGACTCTGGGATGCATCCGATCAGGTCCCATAGACTTATGTAAGTTCACGTTCCCCAGATGGTCATGAACCTGATCTTCTCTTACAGTGGGAGAGACTTTGCTCTCCCAGTCCCTGCCTTGATGTCCATCTACTCACGAGGTGTGGGAAAAGAGGTTGCCAGTGAAAACTGAGGCAAAAATGTTGTTGAGTACCTCAGCCTTCTCCTTGTCTCTTGTTACCAGTTTGCCAGTTGTGTTCATCAGAGGATTACACTTTCTTTGACCTTCCTTTTCTGTCTGACTTACCTGTAGAAGCCTATGTTATTATTCTTTGCCTCCCTTGCCAAGTTCAGCTCCAGACACATCTTGGCCTTCCTGACCCCATCCCTACACAACTGGGCAGCATCCCTATGCGTTTCCCAGGGTACCTGTCCCTGTTTCCACTGTCTGTGCATTTACTTCTTGCTCTTTAGTTTGCCCAGCAGGTCTCAACCCAGCCATGATGGTCTCTTGCTTTCCTTTTCCTGATTTCTTACACCTGGGGATCAAGAGGTCTTGCGCTCTGTGGGAAGCATCCTTGAAGATCTGCCAGCTCTGTTCTACGCCATTGTCCCTGAGGGCAGTTTCCCAGGGGTCCTATTGCCTAACTCCTTGAAGAGCTGGAATTTGCTTTCTTGAGATTCAGCATCATGACTTTACTCTTTGTCTGCCTCATATCCCTCAGGACTGTGAACTCCACCAGTGCATGATCACCGCAGCCCAGGCTGCCTCCAATCTTGGCATAATTGGTTAGCTCACTTGCGTTGGTGACCAACAGGTCCAGTATCGCATCCCCTCTGGCAGGGCTGTTGGTTACCTCGCTTAAGAAGTTATCCTCGGCACACTCCTGGAGTCTCCTGGATTGCCAATTTCTGTGGGAATTTTAAAACATTGTCACATAATTTTGCTGAACGTAACAATCTGAACTCTGCCTTCCTTAGAACTGCAAAATCTTATCTGAAAGGTGACTTCTTTAAAAGTGAGAAATCTCCGTAAATTTTTAGATGAATTTTGATTGCCATTTCTGTAACACCTCAAATAGAATACATAACTGTAAAAAAGTTTAGCAGAAAATGTTTACAGTGACAGATTATTTTTGGACTGAGAAATTCCACAAAAATAATTAGATCTGTCACTAGATGTTTAATATAATAGTTGTTTTGACAGCTCTGAACCACATGACAATGAAGACTTTTTTTCAAGCTGTTCTGACCCTGCTTTTGCAGATAATTCCACTTCTGCTTTGCTGTGAAAAATTCATTCCACACTTCATGGGCTCAATTTTTTTTTTTTTAAGTAAACCCATTATGAAATATTTTATCAAAATCAAAAGAAAAATCCTAAATATGTTTTAAATGACTAAGGAAGAGACATCTTTATTAGACTGTGTCATTCTGAGGAAGCTTTTTATTTTTGCAGAGATTTTTTTTTGTATCAGCTTAATTTTGCCTTCAAATACACGAGTGGCATAACTAATATAATTTAAAACCATTTAAGATTATATAAATAGAACTTGTCAAGGTATTAATTTTTTTCCTCTGTTTTTCAGCTATACTAATAGCAGATATTACTATATTTTGTGCAATTTTGGGAATGCTGAAAACAGCAACATATAACGGATCCCTGTATGAAAAGAAACATGTACAAATTGCTTGAAACTTTTTAAAGTATAGTTTTATTGCCTTTCAAAATTTAAACAGATAGTTATTAAGGTATATACGCAACTTTTTATCTGCTTACATAGTATATTTGGACATATTTATTTGCTTACTTAGTATGTTTGGACCGAGTTCAAAAGTGGTCTACAAGTTCCAAGATAAACTGCTCTAGAAATGTCCTAGATTTTTGTTAGAATAGAGCAACATTTATAGAGGTAAAAAAATGAAATAATTATTTGTAGCTGTTTCTATGTACAAAAAAGTTATTGCCTATTTGCTGGGCAAGAGAGTTTGACTCCTTTCTTCAACTCTTTTTCATAATTGTTTTAAAAGAATTAAATTTAATACTTTTTTCCATGTTAAGTTTGGTATTATCATCTGCAACATTTTCAACTCAGCATGATGCTGTGAGATCCTGATGCATTTCTCAGCAAGATTTTAACCTTCCGCATTGACTGTTTCAAACAAGGTGGGCCATGGCATGGAACTCAAGTCAATAAATCTTACAGGACTTCTGGATTTGAACAAGGGTATCTCAAGACAGTCGGTTTTGCAAGTCAGGCAGATTATCTCAGAAACCTTTGTACAAATGACATTGGAGAAATGGGAGGTACAGAACAGAAGAGATAGAGGTCATCTGCAGAGGGTGGAAGGTGTGCAAGAGAATGGCCTGGGGAATAGGAAGATGCGGGTTGGGGGTGTAGGCACTTAGAAACTATTTAACATTATTGATCTGAGGGATTTTGTAAATGACAGAGGGAAAAAGAAAGATGTTTACAGGATTGTCTTGCACCCACTGTTCAGTCAAGAGATGGCAGACGATAACCCAATAGACATACTGAAATCACAGTTGTATGGCAAAAAGCCCCACAACTCAAATGTAAAGCAACAGCAATAGGATGCTTGCCTGGGAAGTTTTGAGAAAGTTTTAACTCTGTGCTCTGTCTTGTTCAGCTTGTCTTGTACTTAACTCTCAGTGTCCTGTCACAGGCAAGTGTCCTGGTCACCAAGGCACTGAGCTCTTCTAGAGTCTTTTGTCTTTTCCACTTGAGCCACTGTATGTAACTATTCCTTGCTGACAGGAAGGACAAAATGGAGGGACATTGTGTAGCTCAATGACTGTAGCACCTCAGTCTTTCCTTATGGCTATAGTTTTTAGGAGAAGCTCTGTGCTCTGAGAAATCTTCCTTATTGAAACCAGAATGTGACTCCCTAGCATATCATCTTTCACGGAAGAAAGTGAAATACAGATCATGTTATGTGTTTAAGTTGGAACCCTGTGTGCCTTTTGGTATGGCATACGAAAGATACAGAAATATTCTTAACGTATGTGTGCTGCCCTGATCCTACTGTTCCTGTTGGGCAGCGGTCTGTACTCAGCTGAGTTAGCTTTGTTATAAATATGAGAGTTTGAATGAATAAATGTTCTCTGGCTAAAGATTTCACAGTTAATTACTTCAGAATGACAGTATAGCCCCAAAATAGAAAGCAGAGGATCAGCATGTGACTGTTCGTTCTGCCTTCCCAGCAAGGCTTCTGTTGGCAGCAAATGCCAGCTGCAAATAAAAATAGAAGGTGATAAGCAACTAGGATCTTTAGTTAAATGCAGAAGTCACTCTCCATGACGGCAAGCAGTCCGGAGCAACAATGAAGTCTCTCCGATTCATTAGTGCTGAAGCATTCGTGTCAAATGCGGAATTTGCCAGGAAGAGTCTCAGTGGTGTTGCCCATAATCTTTTTCCTCTTCTTTTTAAAGCCAGCTATTTACTGGAGCAAGGGGAAGTGATTCATGACTTGGTAGAGAACTGGCCACTTGCTGACTTTAACATGGGAAAGCTTTTGGCGACTACTGTGGACTGCCAGGAAGACCTGAGCCACAGAACCTGCTCAGTATGCTTGGAAAGCTGTCTGACAGGGCTGAGAGACTATGTGCTGAACCATCCTTCTCCCTACGCAAAAAGGTTGAAAGTGGTCGACCTGACGGGTATGAAAGATGTTGAAGTGCAGTTTTGTGAGTGTAAGAAGACAATGGGCAGGTGGGCCAGGACACAGCTTCTCTCTAAGCTTTGTTTAGAACTGCTGGTTTACCTGCAACAAACACAGTGCAACCCAGGTACCTTTGAAATCAGTATTGATGTGCTAATTGACCTGTTTGTTACAGAACGGAGCTATGAGCTGGTAGTGCAGGCCCTCATGAAGAAATGCTATTGTCCACTGAAGATCTGCTGTGTGGCATTCAGATCGGACAACCTGGCTTTGCAGAAATTCTTCTATATCATAAAGCTCACTGATACCTCTTTATTGCGCAAGCTGGAAATAGTTCACAACGTTCACTTGGAAATGGAACACTTGGAAATACTCTTCAACAGTATCCGCTTCCCTCTATTGATGTCCTTGACCTTGCCAGCACGAACATTTAATGTACGGAGGTTCACAGCTACAGATGAACGGATACTTGCTAATATTGGGGAAAAGATGGGTGAAATGACGCAGCTGACTGAGCTGAGTGTGGCGTTTTCTATACTCACAGGAAGGATACAGAAACTGCTCAGGTAATTTGGTCATCCTGCTTTCAGTCAGACTGTAAAGAACAGCCCTTTGTGCCATCAGCAAGCTGAGAATCTCTGAGAATATACCCTTCTCTGGGAAGTGAGTACATCTCGGGGGGTGTGTGAGAAGGGGCAGCAGGAAGCTGGAGGAGTATTTGTTGGGGAGAATTGGAAGCCAGTGTGTATATGCCATGCACTTAGAAGAATAAGAACTGCCTGTTCTTATTAGTCAGAGGCCATCTCATGAGTACGATGAGAATATACGTTTGGCTGTCACTTAAAAGAGGGGTACATGCAGGCATGTTTGATTTGCCACATTCTTGAGCTTATATCTCAGTCAGCTTGGGCTGGCCTTTGGTGCAAGATCTGAGTCATATTCCAAGTATTTTTCCAGGTCTCTAGTGAATTTTTGTCCTCTAAAAAACAGGCAGTAAATATACTAAGATTCCACAGATACTGTACTTTTAGGTGGGCAGGGGGGTAGTAGGCTCTGATTTGGTTTGAGACTTTGATTTCAGTTGTTTGTTGTGTCTGTTGATCTCAAGGCAAGAGAGATCTGATGTTTTCCTGTACAGCAGATTGAGCTAATATATGAATATTCATTATGAATTCCTAGGAAAACTGGCAATTCTCAAAAAGATAACAAGCTGCCAGTGAACAGTTTTCATATTTGAACAGAAAATAACTATATGTTTTTCAGAGCATCTTTTAAAAAAAAGGGAGACAAAAGTTTGATCGAGACAAATCACCTTGATCTAAAATTCCTCCTGTACAAAGAAGTACTTTCATTTAAAAGTTGTGAATGGCACGCTGCTGATATTGATAGAAATAAATTACATGTTTCTAACCTTGAGCCAGCTGAGGTCTGTGGCAGAAGTCTCACTAAGATTTAGAATGTATGAAAGGGTTCTCTTGATTTTCATCTGTCAGGACTATTTTATATTCAACTAGAATATTTGCACATAATCCCAGGCACACTTCTTCAAACCTTGTTCTTCATCAGAAGGTCTCTTTGCAACCCCAGAACAATACAGTGTGTAAACCTCTTTGGCATTTAAAAACATAGTAGAAACAAATCTAGAAACAGAAGGAGATGTCTTGTTAGAATGCTAATTGACTTTCATCTTGGAATGAATCCTTCCTTAATGGAATTGATGTAAATCTCTGGAATTATAATAGCTATTATAAGCAGCCACCAATGCTTCTATTCTAGTAATGATCTACTATTAATTCAGCAAGTAATAGACACCTGACGACATATAACTGGTTACAAAATAGACACATAAAATGTTACCAAATTAATCCCCATTAAAACAACAGTTAAGAGTCAAATAAAGTAGGAGCTAATTCATGGAACTGATTTTGGGAGGAAAATATACTTGTCTTTGTTCTCACATGCTTCTGTTTCTCAAAAGAGGTTAGAAACAATAATGAATGTGACAGATGGCTGCATTCATGATGTGGACAGTTATATGAAATTTGGTAAACGTAGCTATTCAATGTTTTACGCCAAAACTTTTTTTTCTCTTTAATTCTGCAGCCCACTCAAAACTCCACTGAAGATGCTGGATGTTTCTAACTGCTCATTGAACCATGCTGATATGGTCTATTTAGCCAACAGCTTTCACGCTAATCACTTAGAAGCCCTGGACCTGAGTGGACACAATATACCTGACCTTTACCCATCCGTATTCTTTAAGCTTCTCAGCCATTCCTCTTCAGTACTCAGGATTCTTACCCTGGAGGACTGTAACATCCAAGACACTCATGTCAACATGTTGATTGTAGCTTTAAGCCCTTGCCAGAAACTGCAGGAGTTTAAGTTTCTTGGAAACCCACTGTCATCCCAAGCACTTAAACAGCTTTTCACATTTCTCTGTGAGTTGCCAATGCTGAAAAATGTGGAGTTCCCAGTTCCAAGGGACTGCTACCCTATTGGCATCACCTACCCAATTGATGATGCCAGTCTCTGCAGGTTTGATCACCAAAAATATGAAAGTGTAGCAGAGGACCTTAACCGCATTTTACGCCAAGCAAATAGGGAGGATGTGAAGGCTTCAACTCCACTCTTTGGCAGTTACGATGCAGCTGTTCAGGAGACAAACAATGAACTGGGAGCTCACTTGATCAAGTCCTTCAAAGAGACTTTAGAAAAGTTCACTACTTCTCTTAATGAAATGAGTTAAAGATGTCATGTAGTACTGATGAGATGCTCTGTCAAATCAGAAGTTCATTTAGTCTTTTCTAGAACTGCGCCTTCATTGATCAGCCTTGAGTTTTCTTTAATTTCTTGGCTGAATTTACTTCTGTTTGAACAGCCTCTGATCATCTGAGGTATTTTAACTATGCTGTATCTATTGCATATGCCTTACATAAGCACTGCTACAGGGAGGATCCATAATAGCTTATTATTTTACAGAAAAGCACTTTGTTTCTCAGTAAAACAATAGTGTCTAAGCTTGGTTCATTTCTTACACAGTTCCCTCTGGATTTGACAGTGAGACTTGTAGCCCTACAGAAAAGGAAGGAAAGCCCTTTCCCATGTCCGAAAGATTGTGAGCCTATCCTCACTTACGGCTCCATAAACCAATTTTTTTTTTGCCCTTGGCCTTCCAAATTCACCAGTCTGTGTCTTATCCAATACCTTCCCAACAGAGGGGGATATACAACAGCCTCTGAGTCCCTGTGCCTCTCTTTCTTCTGTAGAGGCAAGCACGATAAACCTCCTTTTGTGTGGGGAGTTGCAGAGTCTGTCTAATACATTGTGCTGGTGAGGAGTAAGGTTCCATATCGAGGAGGCAGCAAACCAAATGGCTGGCTGACAGCAGGAGTTCTCCCCTCTCTTCCCTCAGCAATATAAAGCAGCATATGAGGGGCTCTGCTGAAGCTCCTGCAAAGTGTGATTTGCAAAGGCGTGCCAGGACAGGGCTGCCATGCTTGTGATGTCAGCAGGTAAGTGCCTCAAGCTGCTGATTTTGTAGAATCAGCTTCTTGAATCGGTATCCTGCTGCTTCCAGCTGTTTTAAAGAAAGTCTAGGACAGTGGTAATAATGCAAAAAATACTAGTGTCAAAAACACACATAGAAAAATTAATCCAATGCCAATTTCAAAAATGTGGAAAAGGGACAGGGTGGGTTGCTGAGTAACTAGAAATTACTGCATAAAATATTGCCCTCTTCTTTCAGGACTGTGTATTGTTCTGCTACAGAAGTGCAACCAGTGCCTGGAAGGATCACATTTATTTGGCAAGCTCCAGTGCAAGAAATGTATTTGAGTGACAGAGTAAACAGCATCCCAGACCCTCACACCCTGTGTTGGAACGTGGGTAAAGGGGCCAACAGAATGTCAGGATGCAGCAGTAGGGCCACAAAACAAATCTGTGAAGAGTACTATAATGAGGGGGGGAATCTCTGGGTAGTAGGCAAGTGTCATCGTCTACTCGGCTTCTCACCTGTCATGCTTCAGACTAGGCCGAAGAGAAAGATATTAGCAAAACTTACCTATTGTCAGCTAATTTGAGACCTCTGCTGACGGCCTCTGTCAACTGTGTCAGAGCCCAATAATGCTGGATCTCATCATCTGAGAGTAAGGCAGAAACTTTCTTCATTTAGGCAGTGCTGGTTTGTGAAGCTTGCTGTTTATCCACAACAAGAATATGCAGCTACTAACCTAGTTTTTTTAAAAAAAAATTTAAAAATTAATGGACTGAGTACTAAGCAGGTTCCACAGCATGCATTTAAATGATTTTTTAATGTCGTCTTAGCATATATTCTTCCTTCTAACATGTTTTGTTGATTAAACATATGATGGTAAAATTGAAAGTGAATGGATGTGACCTGTTTATGTTTACAGAGCGCTAAAAAAAAAATGGAAGTAATCTAAGTTGCCAAGCCAAGAAGCTGTGATTTAGAAAATGCCAGGATTGGGTTCCATATGGTCTTGCTTATATTTGGACAGAGTTCCAGGGCTCCCTTGTCCTCACCTCTACTCTTTACCTTTCCCTCCCTCTGCCCTTGCTGTTCTTTCCATCCTAGACTTGATCCATGACTTCTCAGCCAGATATAAATGGTTTGAATTTTGCCCGGCCAAGGATCTACTCCTTTGGGATGAGTCGTGGCACTTCCTGTAGCTGGGAGAGGACATTCCATGCACAGTAGCTGCAAACCTATGTGTAGTGATTCCTCCACCCTGGCAGCAGGGTCAGCTAACAGGTTGTACCTGGTAACGAAGGGTGGCTGCTTTGGAAGCATGTTGTGCTGCAACAGCCAGTCCCCATCTCTTTCAGTACACAAAAAATAGACAGCTTGTTCATAGATCAGCTCTTCTTTCAGAACATTTAGCTGCCTGATGAAGACTGCTACCTGTGCAGCTATCTGCTTTCTTCTTGCCTAAAGCCAATCCTGGTCTACCCTCTTTCTGCTTCCCCGGAACTCCTGCCTGTCTTCCATTTTCAGTCTTACGTATACATGCTGTCTGGTTATGACTCTCTGGGCCAGGAGGAGTATATAGAGGCCATGGTTTTAGTTTGAGTGCCCAGTGAGGATCAGCACTATGTCTGTCCCAAATACTCCCTTTGAGCCCGCAGTACGGAAAGCCTTGCATTATAGAAGTGGCGTGAATGCAGCATTTCATGCAGAACAGCAGTGAATGATGGACAAACAGTTGGATCCAGGTGCAGAAAGAATTACTTTTCTTTCGGCCCGCACACCTGTGGGTTTATCACTGCATATCTTGACTGAATGACAGATTCATAGGCCTGGATTTTTCTGGTTGCAAACACCTGTATGAAGAAATCTTTAATCAATATGCAATATACACAGGTGTGAGTGCATATGTATAATTATTTAATATGATCAGTTATCTTAATTATTGAATGCATAATATCATATAATATATGATTATTGGAATAAATGATGCACTATATTATACATGGGTATATTGACTGCATATAATTTACACATGGGCAACACACTGTGCTGAGCAAGGAAATAAAACTGCTCTACTCAGTGCCCTGTTGCTATATTTAGTACAGCTGCACATGTGGTGTTTATGCAAAGGAGCCAGTACTTATGTCTGCATTAGAGTGAGTAAATTCCTACACCCTAAATATTCATATCAAGGAAATGTGAGGCATTAGCTCTAGTGAAAGAAACCTTCTGTTTGTCTGCAGGCAAGCAACTTTCATGCACTGCTTTGCTCCTGCACCTCAGCGTGAGCTCGGGGAGAACAGCCTTTGATAGAGGGATGTCCGTCTGCTGTGACCTGCTTGATTTCTCAGAGATCTTTCCTCTTTCTGTCATAGATTGCACACTGTGATAGTGAGCTGTTAAGGTGTGACCCATCAAATTAATCTCCTTCAAAATCAACAAAGCACATTAGTTGGGAACAACTTGTAATTCGGACTAAAAAGAATTGGATTTATACTAAGGTTTAATGGGTAAGAGGAGCTGAGGAAAGCCAACACTTTGCTGAAGCATTCACCCTGAATGAGGGTGCTCATTACCTTTTTGAGAAGAAGGCCTGTTTTCTGGCATTGTAAAGTCTGACCTTTAGAAAACTTCCTCAGGCTTCCCACACCTTCTAACCTCTGTGCAGGCAGACACATTCCTGAGACAGATACTGCTTTTATTCAGGCAAACTTTATTACTATCACTAAGTACAGCTGGTCAGAACAATCTTAGCTAAATAGTTTTTGTTAAGAATCAGTCACTTTGTCAAATCATCAGGCTCAGAGGAGCCATGTAAAGCAAAGAATGTAACGCAAATTAAAACAGAACTGAAATGACAGGTAGGACTGGTACAGCATATTTCAGATGCCTTCAGCTTTTGCCCTAGCAAAAATCTCATCTATTTTTTGTTTTCAAAAGTACAAATTACATTTCTCTGAGATTTTCATGAAAGCAGATGCACGTTCTGTTTATGTGCAAGCTGTCACTACCTGCCTTTGTGCAGCTGCCTCTGTATCAATGGCAGTGACGATTCTAGAAACCAGAGGACTTTGACAATTGTCGCTATGAGCTAGAATTTCTTCTTCAGCTGCTCCTGAAGGTAGAGTCCCTGTAGCTGCATAACTGCTTTCCCAACCATTGTACATCCAGTCTTTATCATTCATAAGAAGAAAGAGAATGAATATATAATGTCCAGGGCTGTTTTGTGGATCTATCTTGAATTTTTCCTCAATGCAATCAATACAACTAGATTGTGCACACCAGGCACACCCAAACCAGATGTTTTGATAGGTGCTAGAGAAGTTGCACTTCTGTATGTAACAGAAGTATCTTGAAGAAATTTAGCATCCTATCAATTTGAAGTATTCACCTTCATTTTGGTATTAAATCCTTTCAAAACATTCTGAGGAAAAGAAATACTTTAATGTTGTCTAAATGTTACAGTTTTTTCTTTCTTTGCTTTTGGTTTTTTCCCATTCCGAGAGGTGCATAACATGGACAGTGGGAAGGAACAAACGACGAAGCCAACATGGGTGGGTGCAGATGGCAGTGCTGCACAGAGAGATGCTTGAGCCCCACAGGGGAAATGCTGAAATGGTTGTGTCTTTGTACCAGTGCAAGGGAAGGGAGCTTGGCCTCTGACAGGTATGACAGACACATTCTTTTGTTTCTCAGCTATTATGCCTTTACAGCATTAAAACTGATCATGGGACTCAACCCCAGCAAAATTAAATGCATCATCCCCAAGGTACCAGAAAGGCCAGCTCTGCCCAAAGCGCATGGACACCCCGTTGCAAATGATGTGACTTTCCGTAGCCTGCACATTCCCCAGACAGAGGTTTGAAAACACAGTCACTGCACCAGCTTTTGTCATCGAAAGATGCTGAAGATTGTGTTTATGTTGTTTTATTTTATTTGGAGAAAGAAGGAGAGTACACACAGTAGGAGAGATACAGATTTAAAGAAAAACAACCCAAACTACAACTTTAAATATTTTCTCCTTGAACCAAGGACTGTGCCTGATTTATTCTGCCATATAAATATGAAATAGCAAAAGAGATCAGAAAGGAATGGCACTGCATCAAGCCAATTCTTAACTAAAAAGGCTGAATTGAAAAGGAAAAAAACCCATACAGATCACAGGCTGAAACCAAGAAGCGGCCACAAATCAATTGCAACTGCTTTGTTCAGTGCTAAAATCACAACCTGCAGAGATTAGGAAACGCACTAGTGCTCAT